AGAAAGAATATTAAAATATATATATATATATATATATATATATATATATATATATATATAGAGAGAGAGAGAGAGAGAGAGAAAGAAAGAGAGAGAGAGAAATAAAATCATAGGAGATCGTGCTTAGAAGCATATATATATATATACATATATATATATATATATACATATATATATATATATATATACATATACATATATATATATATACATATACATATATATATATATATATCTTGTTAACATAAAATATTCATCAATTTAACATTCAAAACCTATTCCATCGATACTGTGTTTATATATATATATATATATATATATATATATATATATATATCATTATGTATGTGTGTATATATATATATACATATATACCTATATATATGAAATATTATTAATATTTATTAATATTTATTTCATGTATATATATATACACATACACACACAAATACATATACACACACGTATATATATATGAAATATAAAAAGTACACATATAAAAAATTGAATGTGTGTATATATATATATATATATATATGTATATATATTTTTTCTTTTATTTTATAAAAAATTAATATCTCTTGTACTCGTTAAATAACTTGTTAGACTTAAAAAAACAAATCATATATCAACGAGCCTTGTTTTGCTTTGCTTTGCTTTTCTTTTCTTTTCTTGATTATTATTTTCCTCCATTTCTCTATATTTTCGTTTCTCTTTTTCTTTTTTTTTTCTTTTTTTATTGTTATATTGCGTTTTGTTTCTTTCTGCGTTTGTTCTTTTTTTTTTGTTTTTTTTTGTTTTTTTTTTGCTCTTTATAACCATAAACGGAGTCCCCCTATGAATGATAAAAAATGGGATAGAGTATAGTTAGTTACTAGCTGCTGTAACAGGTCTTTCTTACGTTTGCCAAAATCATACTGAAATCATCTTCAGCTTTAGTTGTATTCTCAATATTTTGTGTATGTTGTTGCGATGGTTGAGGTTGCGGTTGTTGTTGTTGTTGTTGTTGTTGTTGTTGTTGCTGTTGTTGTTGTTGTTGAGAATGCGCGGAATGTTCCTGATATTTGCCAATTGTCATACCACCATGATATTGCTCCATACCATGAGCAATCCCCATACTAGTACACCTACCATCTTTGTTCTGATCTTCAACAATGCAGTGAGAATTTGATATATCGAATTGCGATTGTTGTTGTTGTTGTTGTTGTTGTTGTTGTTGTTGTTGTTGTTCGAGATCGTAATAACGCAGATCACTGGCATAATTGTGATTACTGTCCAATAAATTTTGTGATCTGAGATTAGAATGACCGGCGCTGGTTGGATGGGAATATTTAAAGTATTTTTCTAATTGTAAACTTTGTTGCTGTTGTTGCTGTTGTTGTTGTTGTTGTTGTTGTTGTTGCTGCTGTTGTTGTTGCTGTTGTTGTTGTTGCTGTTGATCCTCCTCGGTCGAAGTTGACATAACAGTTGGATCCATATGACTAATAATTTGTTGCTGTTGTTGTTGTTGCTGCTGCTGTTGTTGTTGTTGTTGCTGTTGCTGTTGCTGTTGCTGATCATGCGAAACATTTGTCGCATCGGTTTGATAATCCTGATGATGCTGAGATATTTGATACCTTGGACTGACAGCTGAAAGAATATGTCAATGTAATTTTTTCCTTTTCTTTTATTTTGGTTTTTTTTTCTTTTTTTTTTTTTTTTGTATTTTCATATTTCAACATCTATTCTACTGTCTAATTTCTTTTTGTTTTGTCTAATCATCGAGTAAAAAAATTCATTTACCTGAACAACCCTCAGCTGTCCCGCGTATACCCATAGTCTGTTGCCTGTTGCTACATTGTACAGAAGTGTAGTTGCTCTCGACAGCTGACTGCATTGAATAGTTTCCTGATTTCGAGGACTGGCTACTTGCGTAATGTTGCAAGGATTGCTCGTGGGGAGAGGCAACAGGCGGATAAAACGTCCCAGTGACCGAACCGACGTTTTCGAAACCAGAACGAAGCTTGTTGCACGATACCATCATGCCATTTGCTATACCAACTGCCGCTATGCTTGACGTTTGCCTTTCGAAGTTCAAATAATTAACCTACAAATTTTATTACGTTACTTTTATATCGGTGACGACCATTTTTCTTCGTTCTTATTTATTTATTTATTTATTTATTTATTTATTTATTTATTTATTTATTTATTTATTTATTTATTTTATGTTATTTTGTTTTAGCGTAAATTCGAAAGGGAAATCGAATAGATTTAATGTTTTTTCTTTCTTTTTTTTTTTTTTTTTTTTTCAAATTATACAATCCGATCAATGAAATTGATATATCGTCGATCGATCATTTGTTGATCGTTTCTTTCATTTTTTTTTCTTTTTCTTTCGAAAAATTATTTTTATTAATATAATTATTATTATTATTTTCTTTTCTTCATAATGCAAATTCAAAGAGGAGTTTAGCTGAATGATTTTTCTTCTTTTCTTTTTTTTTTGCGGATTATACAAATCAATCAATAAAATTTATAAATTTTTATTTATTTATTGAACATTCTTTTATTTTTTCTACAAATTATTATAGTTACTATTGTTATTTTTTTCTTCTTTTTTTTTTTTTTTTTTTCTTTTTATATAACAGAAATTTAAAACGGAAATTGGAACATTCTTTTTTTCTCTCTTTTTCTTTTTTTGTTTTTGTATTATACAATTCGACCATATTGTTGATAATTTACTGATCGCCTTTATTTACAAATTATTATTTATTTATCTTTTTTTTATTTCAATATTATTAATATTATTAATATTATTAATATTATTTATTAAATATTAATAATCGATTGTGTAGATAAAATATTTGGAAAACAATTCAATAGTATTTTTTATTTTTATTTTTCGTAGCCATTTTGAAAAATGAACGATAACGATTGATGGATTTCTTTTCAATTTATACGATCTGATTAATAAATAAATAAATTCTTGATAAAAGAAGAGATTAGAGAATATATATTTATTGAAAATATATATTAATTTATTCATTTATATTTATTCAAAATATAAAATTGATTGCTTATCTTAAAAATTATTATTCTCTTATTCTTTTTTTTTTTTGTTTAATTCCAAAAATAATAAAAATTTTAAATTAATATAATCCGACAAATAAAAATTGATATTAATCATGCAGATGAAATATTTATATAAAAGAAAAGTCAAAAAGAAAAATATAATAAAATCGTATACTTTCTTTCGATATTCGCGGTGGCCATTTTGAAAAAAAAGATGGAGATAAAAACCAAGCATATGATCGAATAATATTTTCAAACAGTGTAATGTACGATAATATCAATAAAAGTAATTTTTCTCTTTCTTCCTTTTTTTTTTTCTTGGTTCAAAAATAATAACTTTATAGGGTCCCGTTCAATTAGTTTGCAAATTAAAATATTCAAGATCATGATACATACCGATTTCTTATAAGTCAACGTGTCCGTATAACTCGCTGAATTTTGACATGAAGTTATGCTGGTAACAACATTATGTGGCCCATGAACCTGATTGTCAGTACTCATGAATGTGTACCGTTTCGTTTGATCGTTCATATCCCCATGTTGTTTCGAGGTACCTTCCATAAGATCCCGTTCTGGATCAGGATTTTGCGTGGGCGGTAGGTGCGTTCCCTCACCTAATATAACAATCCCACAAAACGTGTTCTCGGCGTGTCAAAAGAACGTTTAAGATATGCAAGCTACGTTCCCTTAGACTATACGATAAATCACATTGTATACTATAGTGTATATATATATATATTTATCTACATATATCTTCTTATCTTCAACTAGATGTATTTTATAGAGAGATAGAGATAGAGATAGAGATAGAAAGAAAGAGAGAGGGAGAGAGAGAGAGAGAGAGAGAGAGAGAGAGAGAGAGTACGTTTATACGAATTTAAATATTTGTAATATTAAAAGTAAGAATTAATAAGAGTTAGATGTATTTCGTGATAGTATTGATATTAGTGTTAGTGTTACTGTTAATGTTAGTGTTAATGTTAATATTAATATTAGGATCAGTATTATCGTTAATTAGTATTATCAGTATTAGCGTTAGTGTTAATATTAAATGTTAGTATTAGTGCTAATGGTAATGTTAGGATCAGTATTGATGTTAGTGTTAATATTAGTGTTAATGCTAATATTAGAATTAGGATCAGTATCAGTAGTGTTAGTATTAATATTAAATGTTAATATTAGTGCTAATGGTAATGTTAGGATCAGTATTGATGTTAGTGTTAATATTAGTGTTAATGCTAATATTAGAATTAGGATCAGTATCAGTATTAGCGTTAGTGTTAATATTAAATGTTAGTATTAGTGCTAATGTTAATGTTAGGATCAGTATTGATGTTAGTGTTAATATTAGTGTTAGGACCAGTATTAGTATTAGCGTTAGTGTTAATATTAAATGTTAATATTAATGCTAATGGTAATGTTAGGATCAGTATTGATGTTAGTGTTAACATTAGTGTTAATGTTAGTTATACTTTTAATGGTAGTTTTAATCATTGTTGTATCAGTTTAGTGTTAATGTTAATATCAATATTATAGTTAGCTTTAATATTGATATTAGCGTTAATCTTAATGTTAATGTTAGTGATAATGTTAATGTTAACGATAATGTTAGTGTTAATATTACTTTTAATAGTAATTTTAATCTTTGTTGTGTCAGTTTAGTGTTAATGTTAATATTAATATTATAGTTAGCTTTAATATTAATATTAGCGTTAATGTTAATGTTAGTGACAATGTTAGTGTTAACGATAATGTTAGTGTTAGTGTTAGTGGTAATGTTAATAAAAAATAATATAAAGATATTGTTAATATAATATAAACTTTCTTTTTTTCTTTTTACCTTTGAATAGTTAATAATTTTTAATATTAATAAAATTATAAATTGGAAATTAATAATGTTAATAATCAAAAATTAATAATGTCAAAAATCAAGAATTAATAATTAATAATTGAAAAGTGATTAGTGGTAACTATTGATAATTTCATTGATATAATTTAAACTCCATAAGAAAGATTAAACCAAGACAGACATAATAAGAGAAAGAGAAAGAGAAAGAGAAAGAAAAAGAGAGATAGATAGATGAAGAGATTGATATATATATATATATATATATATATATATATATATATATATATAAAGAGAGAGAAAGGGAGAGAGGGAGAGCGGGAGAAATAGCATTTGTCAAAGAGAAATAAAAATGACAAAAATAGAGAAAAACAAAAGAAAATAATATAAAGAGATAAAAATAAAGATACCTGTGATAGATATAAATGTGTGAGCGTTAAATTAAAAAATATAAACAGCATTGTGTCGAAGAGAGATAAAAGATCGTTGTAATCCAAAGTAAAGAAAAGAAAGAAGAAAAGATCACAGAAAAGAAATAGAGAGAGAGAGAGAGAGAGAGAAAGATAGAAATAAATACGTCATGAATAAATTTAACCTTGCAAGCGTTATATTTAAAAAAAAAAAAAATTAATAATTAATGACGTTATTAATAAAGAATTAATTATTAACAACATCAATTATTAACAATTAATAACATTAATAATTATTAATAATTATTGATTAATATTAATTAATAATATAGATTGATGATAATAATAATAATGAATAATCAATCGTATAAATCACGGGAGAAAAAGAAAATAAATAAACAAAAAAAAAAAAGAAAAAAGAAAACATACAAAAAATAATACCATGAGATGGAAATAAATATATCAAGGATAAATACAACTATATAAGCGTTATATTAAAAAAAAAAAAAATTAATAATTAGTAATATTATTAATGAAGAATTAATTATTAATACTATCAATAATTAATAACATTAATAATTAATAACATTTATGATTAATAATATAAATGATTAATAAGACGAATTATTACTAATTAATAATTCATTAAAACGATAGAAATACATATGTGAAGGATAAATTTAACTCGTGCAAGTGTTATATCAAAAAGAAAAAAAAAGAAAAAAAAAAAAAAGAAAAGGATAATAATTAATAATATTCTTAATAAAGGATTGATTATTAATAAAATCAATATATTATTAATTAATAATAATTAATAATATTCATGATTAATAATAACAAGTATTAATAATTAATAACAATAATGATTGATAATATCAATTATTATTAATTAATAACATTAATGATTGTTAATAATTACAAAATAATATTGACAATTATTATTAATAATAATAATAATAATTAAAAATGAATATTGTCAATCATTATCATTATAAATTATTAATGATTGAAAAAAAAAAAGAAACGAAAAACATAATAACTGAAATAATAAATATCATTTGATTTTTGGCCGATATTCAATAAGAAGGACAGACAAGGATAGAATAGTAATAATAGTACGAGTAAGAGAAAGATAGATAGATAGTTTAGGTATGAAGATTGAGAGATAGAGATATATGAAGAAACGGCTTTGTATCGAAGAGAGATAAAAGATCGTCGAAATCATGGAACAACGAAAGAAAGAAAGAAAGAAAAAAAAAAGAAAGAAAAGAAACCAAAAAAAAAAAAAAAAAAGAAAGACAGAAAAAAAAGGGAAAGGAAAAAATAAAATACACCACCGAAAAGAACAAAAAATACATACATACATATATATATATGTATATATATGTGTATGAAGAGATAGAAATAAATATGTCAAGGATAGATTTAACACGTGCAAGCGTTATATTCGATCGAGCGTGTCGCTGACAGGAAAGAGATAACGAAGATGGGAACGAGCGATATTACAAAGGACGTCGATTTACCGTCGGGTTCAGGACTGCCAACTGGTGATATGTCCGGTGTATGGATGATAGGCGTGTACGGGCTACCGTATAATGAATTATTTTCCGATTTATATTCCTGGATACCCCCCTGCTGTTGTTGTTGTTGTTGTTGTTGTTGTTGATGATACAACGACGAGATCGGTGAATGGCCACCCCATGGGATCTGTGGTATTCCTTGATAGCTCTCCATTTTGGACCTTTTAATTTTTTTTTATTTTTTTTTATTTTTTTTTATTTTTTTTTATTTTTTTTGAACATCGATAAATCAACACTTTAATCCATTCCACCTTTTACTCGTCTTAATTGTCAATTTAATTGTTAATAAATCGTAATTAATTATGTACACGTATTGTTTTTATTTATTTAACTGAACGACAGAAAGGGAGGGATGAGTGGCGGGTTAACGGGGACGGGAGGAGGGGATAATACAAATACGTCTTCGATATGTTGTCTTTTTTTTTGTTTTTTATTTTCTTTTTCTTCCATTCTTTTTCTCTTCTCCCACTTTTTTTTCTTTTGATTCTTTTTCTCTCTCTCTCTCTCTCTCTCTCTCTCTCTCTCTCTCTCTCTCTCTCTCTCTCTCTCTCTCTTTTCTTTTGTTCGTGATGTAAAAGAAAAAGCTTTTTTTTTGACAAGTTTGTTTTTATTTTTTTATTCCTTTTTTTTTATTATTATTATTTTTTTTTTTTTGTTGACGACAATAATATTTTTTTTTTTTTTTGTAAATAATAATAATAATTCGTTACTCCAATTAAAACTTTCTCCCCAATGATATTTTAACGATGAAATATATTCTGAATTTTTTTTTTTATTTTTTTATTTTTTTTTAATAACAAACATTTTTTTTATTTTTTATTCCTTTTTTTTTTTAAACGTTACTCTGTCAACGATAACACTTTCCTAAATCTTCTTAAATCGTTTTTTCTTTTTTTCAAGGATAAAAAAGTTTTTCAAATAATTTCCTAGATTAATGAATTCGATAAAATTAATAAAATTGATTGAATTAATGAAATAATTAAATTAATAAAATTGATAAATTTTTCTTTAATAATTTTTTCAAATGATACGTTTTTCGAACGAATGATTCTTTTTCTATTTTTTTTTCTTTTTTTTTTTTTCTTTTTGATAAAAAGACTGTCCCGAGATTATAATTTATTTATTTCTTTTTTTTTTTTTTTTTTTTTTTTAATAATAAAAATTCCACATAATTTCTCCACCGATAAAATAATTTTTAATAGTCTTCTTAATAATAATAATTATAATTTTTCTTTTTTCTCTGAACAAATCTTTGTTATATGCAAATATAATAAACACATGTATAGAATTTCTTTTTAATCCTTCATCTCGCTATATGAACAATAAAAATTTCTATAAAAATTTTTCGCTTTTATTCTAAAGATTCCTATAGAAATGATAAAATTTTGAAAAATTCTAAATCTCGTTATATATATGCAATAACAATTTTTACGAATCTTATTCTTTAAAAAAAAAAAAAAAAAAAAAAAAAAAAAAAAAAAAAAAAAAAAAAAAAAAATAAAAAATAAAATTCACCTCATATAAAAACAATAACTATTTTCATACGGATTTTGAAACTTCCTCCATAGAAGCAATAAATGATCTTTTTCTATTTTTTTTTATTTTTTTCAAATTCTATATAGCGTTACGCAACACCAATGAAAATTTTATTATACTTATATTTTCTTTTTTCTTTTCAAAAAAAAAAATTGTAAAAAAGAAGTAACACAAGAAAGGAGAGGAAAGGAAGGACAAAAGGAAAAAAGAAAAAAATAAAAAAAAAAAAAGAAGGAAAAAAGAACTATAACTCACATGGAATGATGAATGGCGGCATTGGTAGGATTGGACCTACTGCTGGTAGCATTACTAGCTGTTGGGGGGGAGGAGGGTGCACCGGGTGCTCGTTTAGCGTGTTTCCTACGTCTCGGTCTGTATTTGTAATTTGGATGTTCTTGCATGTGTATAACCCTGAGTCTCTCGGCTTCCTCAACGTAGGGCCTTCTGTCCTGTGGCGTCAATCCTCGCCATTTTTTCCCTAGAAATAATATAAATACATAATTACTATGAAAATGTAGAAATAAAAAAGATATATATTTCTTTATACGTATATATAAAAATTTTCTATATGTATATATATAAAAATTAATTGTCAATTATCAATGATTTTATTATATATATTAAATCGCATAATTAATATATCATACAATTAAATACATATATATGTATTAGGTTGGAAGCTATGAAACGAGCATTTTTGTTTAGTTTTTTAAATTCATTCAACGCCCGTTTCATAGTTTCCAATCTAATATATATATTAGTGGGACCGGAAATTAATGTCGCTTTCTTAAATTAAATTCAAACGAATCAATTTTTAACAAGTTTTTATTTTTAATCACAATCAAATATCGACATGCGCAGAAACGACGATTACTTTCCGGTCCCCGTAATATATATATATTTATTTATTTATTATATATACTTAATTTTATATATACTTTACATTATATATTATAATTGTATGAGTATTATATTTGTATATATATATATATATATATATATATTAAGTATAGATGTATATGATATAAAATGAAAACTGTATTGTGTATATTTTAATATTTTCAATAGTAAATTTTGGAATAATTTTGCAATAAGATTTGTAGATATTTTCAATAATTATAAATGGACATTTAATATTTTTTATTTAACAAAAGTTTTATAATAATTTCAAACGTTTTCTAATATTTAACAATCGTAAAAAAGAATTTAATATTTTCGTCAATACTTTAGAAATCGTAAATTAATATTAGCAACTTTTTAATTTTTGAAGATTAAAAAAAAATTATAAATAAAAATTGTGTATTAACAATAACTGTTTATTAACAATTCAGCGTGTATAAAATATCGTATAAATCTTACCAGTCCTTTTGTATCACTGGAAAGCAGCATGAACAGACAAAAACAATATATATAGTATATATTATTATAAATATATATTATATATGTAAATATAATATAATAATAATACATTATATATAAATATATATATAAAATATTATATAATATATATAATATATATATATATATATGTATAAATGTAAATATATACAAAAAAAAAACTTTCAATTGCTCTT